CTGGTCCTCAAGGAGAGTATTGTAAGTATGATAGATTTTGTTCTAAATTGAGGGAGCCAGATGATTGGAGACACCCAGGTTTCTGCTTCTGGAATTCCTTCTTTGCTTTGATCCTTTAAATAAGGTTGTCAAATAAGGTAAGGAATGGGGTATTAAATGGGTGGTTTTTGAGATATCTACTACTTGGGGGAGGTTTTATAGCTGTGTATCATAAGAGGTAATGGTTTCTGATTGTCGAGAAGAGACCGACCAACATAGCGAACAATCGAGACAGAGTCTTGTTAGAGACAATGCTAGATGCTTTTCATCTTCCTCATTTACTTTTCTGCAGTTTTAGATGTGCTGTATAGTTCCAATTAAAGTCACTTGGCCTCTGCCTATGTCCACTCTAAACTGCAATTATTTTGTCATCCAGAATTTGGTGATCGACATGAGCCGCAATCTTCAAGTTTCCTTATTCTGCATTTAGTACTACCTAGATATCTTTGCTTTCTTCATTGATCTCTTCACAGTGTTAAAAGAATCAAGTAAATAAGTGGAGACTATATATATATATCATAACAGTGGTTGTTTGTTATATTTTCATGTCATTTTTATAAAGTTTCTAGAATGGATAAGGACTCTAAAAACGTATTGAAAAAAAAAAAAGAGTAAATTGTAAAATAAATAAATTGTTTTGAATAATAAATATGCAATTAAATGTTGATTTCATATCATATCTACATATGGTTTTTATTGTAATATGATCTTTGCCTTTTTTATGAACATTTTAAAAAAATTAGTTTATTAAAAGACAAGTTGAGAAGATGAAGATAAATTATTTTAATAATGTTGTCCGAGTCAGGCTTCGTTCCAAGAATGAAGGATATGATCGATTTCACACCCTCCCAAGAAAAAGTTTCAACGAAAAAAACATGAACCACCAAGAAATTTGATTTGGCGTTGGCAATTGCCAAAAATGGCCCACTCTAACAAATTTGTGCCTATCGTTTCTCCACCGAACAAATATCACGTTTCCAACCCGGGAATGTTTCGAATTCTGCAATAACGACGAACCAGAGCTAGAAAGCAAACCCATCGCCGGAGATGGAAGTGATAGGGTTTATGACCAACAAATGGGTTGCAACGGCCATCGGGATTTGGATCCAGTGCATCTGCGGTGCTTCCTACACTTTCAGCATCTATTCTTCGGCTCTCAAATCCACCCAGGGCTACGATCAGTCCACCCTCGATACCGTTTCCGTTTTCAAGGACATCGGCGCCAACGCCGGCGTCATTTCTGGTTTTCTTTACTCTGCCGTTACTCCCACCACCCGTCGACGTAGCTCCGCTGGCCCATGGGTGGTTCACGCGGCGGGAGCGATTCAATGCTTCCTCGGATATATTTTCATCTGGGCGGCGGTCTCTGGATTCATCGATCGGCCACCGGTGCCTGCGATGTGCTTCTTCATGTTCCTGGCTGCTCATGCGCAAACGTTTTTCAATACGGCCAACGTAGTCACTGGCGTTCACAATTTTGCGCACCATAGCGGGACTATTGTGGGCATCATGAAGGTATCAACACAAACCCTCAGTTATCTTGATTATGCAGATTGTTGGGGTTTACCCCCTTTTCTGAACCTTTGTTTATTCATTTTTTCTTAATATGGTGAGTATTATTCAGAAACTCCTAGATAGATCATGTAGGCCAAAGCTAAATCTTTGTCCTCGAGTACTTAAGTGCCAGAGATGAACTTTGTTTAGTTTACTGCTCTGTTCTTCTCTGCCATGATCTATTTTATAGGGATCACCATTTCAGTAGTTCCAAGGTTTTCATTTGAGAAATTAGTTGTTGTTGCATTATTGAATCTGAGGGCAGATTCAAAGCAGTTTCCCCTGATTTTGGATCTTGATTATGCTGTACATGATTAGACATGTTATATCTTGCTTCTTCTTTTTGTTGGATAGGGATATCTTGGTCTTAGTGGAGCACTGCTAATCCAAGTTTATAACACGGCGTGCAATGGAGAACCAAGCAATTTTCTCCTCATGTTGGCTGTTTTCCCCACACTTTTATCCATCACGTTCATGTGGTTTGTTAGAATTGATAGAACAGAGTCTAGAAATGAGATGAAGCATTTGAACTCACTGTCTGCACTTGCTGTGATAGTTGCTTTTTACCTAATGGTTGCCATAATTTTCAACAACACTTTCTCCCTTTCATCATGGACTCGTTTTGTTACATTCTCCATACTCTTGGTTCTCCTTGTTGCTCCTCTGGGAATCGCCATTAACGCTCAGAGGGAGGACCTTAGAATGTCATCTCCCTCATTTTTCACTGAAGAAAACCCTGTTCTTAACAAGCCCAAGTCAGCGAATGCAGAGGATTCTGTTGAATATCATGAGCTGCCCAGTGATGAGTTGCAGACAATGGCTGCTGCAAACTCCAGAGCTCCTCGAGCCATGAATGTCTTGGAAGCTTTACGCACTTTGAACTTCTGGCTTCTGTTTGTTGCCATGGTGTGTGGAATGGGTTCTGGATTGGCCACCATAAACAACATGAGCCAACTTGGCCAATCTCTTGGCTACACAGCAACAGAGACGAAAACATTTGTGTCCTTGTGGAGTATATGGAACTTTCTTGGACGTTTTGGAGCTGGTTACACCTCTGATTTTCTTCTACATTCATATGGCTGGGCGAGGCCATTGTTAATGGCCATCACTCTTCTGATAATGAGTGGTGGCCACATTGTAATCGCCTCTGGTTTATCTGGAAATCTGTACGTGGGTTCAATTCTTGTTGGCATATGCTACGGCTCACAGTGGTCGCTGATGCCCACAATCACTTCAGAGATATTTGGTTTAGAGCATATGGGAACTATTTTCAACACCATAGCCATAGCCAGCCCTCTGGGGTCTTACATTTTTTCTGTTCGGGTCATCGGTTACATTTACGACAGAGAAGCTGCCGAAAAACATGGCTCCTGCTCCGGCACACACTGTTTTGTGGTATCTTTTTTGGTCATGGCCATCGTGGCTTTCTTGGGCTCTCTTGTTGCTGCTGCTCTCTTCTTTCGAACTAGGAGATTTTACCGACTGGCTTTGCAAAGAAGAGTGGAACGTCTCAGTTAAAGCTACCAGGGAGAAATAGAATCAGGTGCGTGCTTGCTTATAGATTCAATCATTCATTGAAGTTTCAGATTCTGTTGTTCTGTACTCTTAAACTAGAATATCAGAGTAAGATCAAATATAGTGTTAAACGTTGTATTGTATCATAGGTTGATCAAACGACTGTTTGTATCATTTTTAGTAAATATTTTGTATGGTTTGCTCGGTTACGTATTGTCGTTATAAAATGGGTTTGTGATGTTTTCACAACTTTATATAAAATGTTTCATTCCCCTCTCCAACCGAAGTAGGATCTCACAATCCACTCCTTTTGAAAAGCAAGCGTTCTCGCTGGTATACTGTCTAATGTTTGGCTTTGATACCGACTATCACGATTGTATTTATTTAACCGTGCAATGTTGTGATCGTACTTTTTTAATTGTATAGCGTTGTGAACTTGACACGCTCACGACAAACCTTAAGGGGGAACTAAAGTCCCATTCACATTTCTTGTCTGACTTTATGACTTCGTCAGACCTTTGGCGAGGTTTGCCTTCACCCATCGAACAACTTGTGTGGATGTTCAGCCACACCCGCTGCTCATGTGTGCATGTTCAATCGATTGCGACTCTAGCTAAATTGCTTCTACTCTAAGTCAAGGTCTCCTGAATGCAAGCATCTCATCATCATCTCAATTTCCAACAACACGACCTGTGCATCATGATGCCATCCCATGTTTCGGGACAGCTCGACCATTTTGGCTTGCTCAAATACATTCGTTGGGAACTGACCTATGTGTGTTGATCATCTCATCATTTATCCAGGTTCTCATCATCATTTATCTAGGTTCTCATTGAGCATTGGACTCTCTCTCGTGTCTATGTTAAATCAAAGTCAATTGCGGAGGATAGAAACTTTACCCGAATTTCAAATTTATTACAATTTAATGTATGCCGAAGATTTCTGTTGATTTCTGTTGAATTTATTATAATAAATTTGTACCTGAAGTATTATAATAAATTCTGGTTGAAAAAAATCTTATAAATAAATCATTAAACAAATAAGACAAAAGATATTTAGGCGTCACTGTCATCATCTAGTAAAGATGAAGATATTTTTATCACAAATCCTTTAGAATTTAATATTTCTAATTAATCTCGTGCATCTTACCTTATATAATTTATTATTCGAACCATTTTTTATATGCACTATTACGTTACAACGTGAAGCAATTCCCAATTATTAAATTATATTTTGGCTTCCATGCTTACGTGTATTTAAATTTTTAGACATATTTTTATTTATAGATCTAATAATAACACCACGATAGTTGCCACCCTGTCCTCTATTTTTCTTCTCTTTTTTTTTTTTTTGCAATATATAATTACGTGTCAACTACCTCGATTACTCTAACCATATAAAATTGGGTTCCCATCTAATAAACAACTCCTTTTATAAAATCTCCAAAATTATTTATTATCCTCATTTATCTTATTTTATGGTTTAATTTATCATTTTATTATCATCCTTCCTACTCAGCAATCCCAATTTACCCTACCACTGACAGGTAAATATGTCAATGTTTCTGAACTCATATTTGACACTTATCCCTATTTTTTTTTTTTTTTGCCAGAGTTATATTACTTACTCCTCCTTTTAAGAGTGATCTAGACGCTATTTTGCATATAGTATAATAAGATCAGATCTGCTTACTCCTTCTTTTAAGAGTAAAGACTCGTCATAAGACTAACACGAGTCATTTCAATATGATCTTAAAAAAGCTTACAGGAGGCCACTCAACATAAAATTGCTTTAAGCACGCCTTAAGTATGGAGTTGTTATCGTATTTTTTGAACCTAAGTGGGATCCATTTATATACTCATAAAAATCCCACTTGAAAGGAATTGGAATTCAAGCCAAGAAATGGAAGCTCCTCCGAGCAACAGATGGATTGCTACGGTTGCCAGCATTTGGATCCAAGCATTTGCGGTCCTTCCTACACCTTCGGCATTTACTCCTCCGCCCTCAAATCATCTCAAAACTACGATCAATCCACTCTCGACACTGTCTCCGTCTTCAAGGACATCGGCGCCACCGCCGGAGTTCTTGCCGGCTTACTCTACTCCGCTGTCGTCTCCACGGATCGCCCCCGTCGCCCATGGATCGTCCTCTCCGTCGGAGCAATTCAGTGCTTCCTTGGTTATATTTTCATTTGGGCTGCCGTCTCTGGTTTAATCCCTCGGCCGCCGGTGTCGGCTATGTGTTTGTTCATGTTCTTAGCCGTCCATGCCCAAGTCTTCTTCAACACGGCAAATGTCGTCACTGGCGTTCATAACTTCCAGCTCTACGGCGGCACCATCATCGGCATTCTAAAGGTCTGTTCTGCTCTGTCTGGAAATTCCCCAATTCGAATCCGAAAACTTAAGTCGTTTCTTTGAACAGGGATTTCTGGGTCTAAGTGGAGCAGTTCTGATCCAATTCTCTAACACATTCTACAGCGGAGACCCAATAAGTTATCTTCTGATGCTGGCGATTTTACCGGCGCTCACGACTGTTCTGCTCATGAGATTCGTCGTAATCGAAAAAACAGAGATCGGTAACGAATCGACCCATTTGAACTCTCTCTCAAAAATTGCTCTTATAATCTCTTGTTATCTCACAATTCTCATCATTTTGGACAACGTTTTCTTTTTACCAACATGGGTTCGCTTATTCACCTTCGTTCTACTCCTCATCCTTCTCGCTTCCCCTCTCGGAATCGCAAACAGAGCACAAACAGAGGACTCTGTTTCCAAAACCAAGCTTCAAAGCACAGACAATTCCGTTGAATATCATCAAATTCCCGGTGAAGAACAGAGAAATGATCAGCTAATGATGGTTACAAATGGAGAAATGAACGTAATCGAAGCAATTGGCACGGTGAATTTCTGGCTATTGTTTTCTGCGATGATGTGCGGAATGGGTTCTGGGTTAGCCACCATAAACAACATGAACCAACTGGGCCAGTCTTTGGGCTACAAAACAGTCGAAATCCACACATTCGTTTCACTGTGGAGCATTTGGAATTTCCTTGGGCGGTTGGGATCCGGCTATGCCTCTGATCTTCTCCTCCGGGAATTAGGCTGGGCGAGGCCATTGTTAATGGCCGTCGCCTTGCTGACGATGAGCGTCGGCCATATCATCATAGCTTCAGGCTTCTCCGGGAATTTGTACTTGGGTTCGGTGATTGTGGGGATTTGTTACGGCTCGCAATGGTCGCTAATGCCGGCAATTACGGCGGAGATTTTTGGAATAAGGCATATGGGTACCATTTACAATACGATCACAGTAGCCAGTCCGATTGGATCTTATGTTTTGTCTGTTAGAGTTATTGGGTATATTTACGACAGAGAAGCCTCTGCCGGAGACAACTCCTGCTCCGGCAAACACTGCTTTATGACGTCTTTTCTGATCATGGCAGCGGTGGCATTCTTGGGTTTTATTGTTGCTGTTGCTCTGTTCCTTCGGACCAGGAGATTCTATCAACTTCTTGTGCAGAGACAGCTCAAGGATTAGATGAACTTGAAAGTGTTGATTGTATTCCCAAAATTTTATTTTTATGCTTCACTCTTTCAATAATACTTCATTTTAAAATTGATGAATACATTGTTATGGAAATAGTTATAAAAAAAGCAGTGATAAATTTAGAGGGGAGAGATTGAACATAATTAATATTTATTCAATTACAGTCCGTTGAAAAAAAAAAGATATGGGAGAGACAAAAAAGGAAAAAGAATAATCAGAATAGACAAATGATTTTACACACTAATTTCATCCCGATTCCCACCAACGCGGGAAATTATGGTTAACCCATTTCTTGATGGAATCGGATAATTCCCAATCGATTGGGACTATGAGTCCACAGGAAACTTCGCCATTACTGAAAACTCAAGACAGGTGTGAGCAAGGCGAAGACGATCTAGGCAGAATTAAAGTGGATTAGGGAGTTCGAGAGATTCATAAGCTTCACTCGATGAATAGATAGGGGAAGAGAAAGAGGAAGAGGGCCAGGCAAATTCAATTCAACGGATTGGAAATGGAGATTTCCGGTTTCAATAACAAATGGGTATCAACAGTAGCCAGCGTATGGATTCAGTGCACCAGTGGGTCTCTCTACACCTTCTCCATCTACTCGCAAACCCTCAAGTCAACTCAGGGTTACGATCAGTCCACTTTGGATATCGTTTCTGTCTTCAAAGACATCGGTGTCAATTGCGGCGTCCTCGCGGGCTTTCTCTACTACTATGCCACCGCTGATGGTGGTGGTAGTCGGCCGTGGATTGTTCATTTAGCCGGTGCAATTCAGTGCTTCTTGGGTTATTTCCTTATGTGGGCTGCCGTTGCTGGCGTCTTTCCTCGCCCGCCGCTTCCCGCTATGTGCTTTTTCATGTTGGTGGCTGCTCATGCTCAAAGCTTCTTCAACACGGCTAACGTTGTAACTGGCGTTCGGAATTTCCCCAGTTATAGTGGGACGATTGTCGGAATCATGAAGGTTAGTCTTCACATGTTTGAAATTCAAATAACACGATTATGTTGACATGATTTAATTTATGTATCTTGAATACGGTATATGAACATTCAGCCCTGATTTGTTTCACTTTCTATCTAGAAATCATTTTGAGGAAGTTCAATTGTTCATTGTTTTTTGGATTGTTCATCACTCAGTATTGTTCATTTTCACGTCAGGGGTTTCTTGGTTTGAGTGGAGCAATATTGATTCAAGTATACGAGACAATATTTAATGAACAACCTACTTCGTTTCTTCTAATGCTGGCACTGCTTCCGACCCTTAATTCCTTATTGTTCATGTGGTTTGTGAGAATTCACAATGCAGACGATGAAGTTGATAAAAAGCATCTAAATTCCCTATCCATAGTTACTCTGTTCCTTGCTACTTACCTTATGCTCAAGATAGTTCTAGAGCATATTTTCACTTTCCAGTTCCCTCTACAAGTTGCTTCATTTATTCTACTTTTGATATTGCTTGCTTCTCCTCTATATGTTGCAATTAGAGCCCAGCAGAGAGAATCCAGAAAGATTTTGCACCCTTCTGTTACTGAGAGTGATCAGCTGATTAGTCGCTCCAATCAAGAGAGCGAGGATTTCGACAATGAACGGAGAAGGGAGTCTGAAGAAAGCCTGAACCTCTTTCAAGCTTTATACACCATAGACTTCTGGATATTATTTTTTGCAACAGCTTGTGGCATGGGAACAGGGTTAGCCACAGTGAATAATATCAGCCAGATAGGATTATCTCTTGGTTACACAAGCTTGGAGACAACTATTTTGGTTTCCCTGTGGAGCATCTGGAATTTTTTTGGTCGTTTAGGAGCTGGATATGTATCGGATTATTTTCTCCATGCCAAAGGGTGGGCTAGGCCATTATTCATGTTCATCACTCTGGCAACCATGAGCATTGGACATGTAGTGATTGCCTCTGGTCTGCCTGGTGCTCTTTTCGCTGGTTCGGTGCTAGTGGGTGTTTGTTATGGGTCTCAATGGTCATTAATGCCAACAATTACCTCTGAAATATTTGGTGTTGTACACATGGGTACTATATTCAATGCCATTACAATAGCAAGCCCTGTTGGATCTTATATATTTTCAGTTAGAGTTATTGGGTATATGTATGACAAAGAAGCATCAGGTGAAGGAGGTACTTGTACTGGAACTTACTGCTTCATGTTATCATTTCTGATTATGGCTTTTGCCACCCTTTTGGGCTCTTTGGCAGCCCTTGGCTTATTTTTCCGGAGAAGAAGTTTCTACGATCAAGTTGTTTTTAGAAGGCTGCAACACTCATCGAGTGGATAAAGGAGTAAATACTACATACGACATACAAAGTGAAATATGGAGGTTTTCCTGGTCACTGCTAATAAGGTAATTGCTGATATGCCGTTGTTCTTCCTTTCATATATTGTTGTAGGTTGATTTTTTACATCGGAAGGAAAAACAACATAATGTGTTGGCGTATGTACACAATCGTCTATATTTAAGTTTGTAGTACAAGTAAGAAAAACAATTTAAGATTAAACTAGAACTCTCATTGTTGTGTGATTTGGTTTGGCTTAGAGATGAAGTTGTTAGTATATTATATCTAATTGATAGTCGAAAATGAGAATAACAGGAATATATTCATTTATACTGTTGGGATGACATACATTTCTATGGAAAGTCCTGTATCTGACATCAATTTTACATTTGATCTCATTGTCTTTTATTCTGTGTTAAATTTCTTTTAAAAGAAAATGATGGATGTGTTAAACTATGCTTATAGGCAATTGGGGTCACGATACTGAAGAATTCGGAACGTTTGGACTTGGTTTATGAGGGCTTCTTTGTTTAATTTAGCTGATTGATTTCATCTTTCCACCTTAGCTCAGCCTAAATTTATGACAAAAATTTCTCTCATGTTTGTAGAATATGTTGTGTACGTGGTTGTATTGTGAGAAGACTAAACATTTGTTGCATCGTGAGCGAATTTGTTCGTAAGTTAGTTTTCTTTTACTTCGTAGCGCTCAAAGTGAGAGAATTTATTGTTTAAGTTTCTTTACTTTTGTTAGCTTCAAGATGCAATGTAGAAAGGGAATCTATGGTGGGAGTTCCTTTGAATTATAGTGTTGCTCAGTCACTTTTGGATTGAAGGATATAAGTTTGTTGTGACATTGTGGCATTTAGTTTGGAAAAATGGTTTTTGGATTTGAATGAAACATGACTTTGATTCACAGTACCAGTCTGAATCAATTGATGTGTCTGATTGTCCATGTAAATAATCCTTCTTCTTCTTCATTTCTTTTCTCTTCTTGTTCTGTTTTATTTTGAAAAAGGTTGTTACTATCACATGGTATGAAGCTAATTTTCTCCCATAAATCATTACTAGAACTTAGAAACCTAATCTTTTGAATCGGTACTGGTATGTAAACTTAATTATCTCCTCATCTTGCCCAGTTTTCAACCAGCTATCCTGAATTCATAGCAAAATGCATTTTGTGGAGGAATATTCCAAATGAGAGGTATCAAAATGAGAGAGTGGTATCAAAATATTGGCATATATCATATTGGGCATCTGGGAATTACGGAAGGATAGAAACAGCATAGTTTTCAATGGGGTCAACAAGGGGGATGCTCAATATTTTGAAATGGTTGTTTATAATAACACTTCCAAGTGCAGTGCTTACACAAGAGCTTTCTGTAACCACACTAGATCCTTGTATAAATCGGAGTTTTTGTAATCATCAGTCCTTCACATGGCTATTCTTCGCCTGGTTTTTGGAGGTAATTCTTTTTATTCTATTTTATGAGTAGTCTTCTTGTCATTCCAAAAAAAAGGAGGTTAAGATTGTTGGATGATGAAAGTCCCACATCGGCTAATTTAGGGAATGTTCATGAGTTTATAATCAAAGAATACTCTCCATTGATGTGAGGCCTCTTGGGGAAGCCCAAAGTAAAGGCATGAGAGCTTATGCTCAAAGTGGACAATATCATATCATTGTGGAGAGTCGTGTTCGTCTAATAAAGATTCCATTTCCTGTGTTAAAACTAAATACATCCCAAGGCGTTGCCTTTGTTGCCTGTCTGGAATCACTGTTCTTTCTTTCATGCCATGTGGGTCATAATTGAATTTTAGATTTAATATGGTTATATGTGTTTTCAAGAAAGTGGAAATTTTTCATATGCATGCCATGGAGAAATGGGGTTATTTAAACACCAATTCCGTTTATTATTGGTTTGTTTACTCTAACCACGTATATATGTTGCCTGTTGCCTGCCTGCCTAGTTGAATCCCTCTCTGAAATTTGAGTTATCATGTTGCTTCTCTCCTTGTCCTAGGCTTAGTGAAAAAGTTCTTTTTCTTTGTTTTGTGTAGTTTATCTTCAATTTGTCAAAATCACCTTTAGGCATTTATTTCACGAGAGACGTTAATCTCACTTTCTCTCTCTCTTTCCTTCCTTCTCCCCCAAGAAACAGAAAAGCGCTCTGTAGTTTGTACATGTACACTTTGGACTGGTTTACCTTGTTGAACCAGTTCTTTGCTCTTCATAGGCTTCTACATACTTCGAAATTGAATATAAGGTAGAAGGTGAGGGGTGGGGATTCTGAAGAAGGATCCAGCAGTTGGATATGTTGAACTAGTTAAAATTTTATTTGATATAAAGGAGGTTTTAAATTCAAAATCATTAGTGACCCGTTGTGAGTTCCACCTTGGCTAATTTAGGGAATGATCATCGGTTTATAAGTAAAGGAATACATCTCCGTTGGTATGAGGCTTTTTGGGAAAGTCCAAAGCAAAGCCATGAGAGCTTATGTTCAAAGTGGACAATATCATACCATTGTGGAGATCGGTGATTCCTAATAGTTGGATATGTTGAGCTAGTTAAGATTTTATTTGATACGAAGGAGGTTTTTAATTTCAAAATCATTAGTGACCCGTTGCTGGAAGCTGAATGTGTACATTCTAGGTGCATCTTCAACTTTTTTTGAGTTTTTGCGTTAACTTTTCTTCTCCCTATGGCGCCATTTTTTTCTGGTGTTGCTAGCCACCTGCGTGCTTGTGGATGTGAAAAATGAGAAATACTGTGCTTTGTGAATTTCATGCTCTTGATTTCTTAAACGATTGAGAATATCCTTAAATTCATAGAAGCATTCAGGAATGAAAGATTTTAAATTGTATATACTTCAAGGTATCTTCGTTTGTCCTTGGATTTCCAGGAGTTCCAATTCACTTCTACCTGTTTGCCTTTTTTCGGCTGAGAACGGGGCGGTCGAGCTATTGTTCCACTGGTAAACTTATGGAATGATGCATTGTAGATTCTAGTATTTTTGTTTTGGTATTCTGAAATGTTAGTTTCTTCTTCCTCTTGTTATCTCCTTTTCTCCTTTTGTTGTGTCATGGGCGTCTTTCTATTTTCTTCCTGATGTCTATTTTTAGCAACTTTTTATCTAAGTAAGTTTATAATCTATTATTTGATATTTAGTAATATATGTCGCAATACATATCACACATAAGCATAACCTATTAGCCTATGTGCTTCGTGTCACAACCATACTATGAAGAGAGTAGGTTGTGACATGACGACCGCGACACTTCACACCTTAAAAAGAGTAAAAGAAGGTTTTCTTGAATGTATTCTTTTGAACATTACTCAAGTAAGTAACCATTTAACCATTTATGTTACCACCCTTTTTATGAAGTCATTGTAGCATCTCGAATTCTTCAGGTCCCAGCATTCGTCCGAGTCAGAGGACTCCTATCTTGAAAGCAGAATCAAAATTGTCTCTGCTAACATCTGCAGTGCCCGCCCGTCCTACACATATGCTGTCGTGAAGCAAGAACCAGCCAGAATGGATGACTCTTACCTGGCTTTCTGGATGACAAGAAATCCCCTAGCTCACTTGATTGGGGACAGAGTCAGTGTTCATCAAGTGCAAGAGAGAGGAGCTTCAATCTTCTAGGATTCGATCGACCGTGTTACTGTTGCTTTCGTAGTTGGAAGCCTACCATTTATTCATTGAGTTGAAAAAGAAGAAAAGAAGCTTAAGCTATGGCAGTAAGAAGCTGTAATTTGAGGGGAGGACATAAATATCTGCAGATCTTGTTTGCTGCTCGGCTTGTTCTTCGAGTCTCGCTTCTTCCTTCCTCTCTTACCCCGATCTACCGACCAATGTAAATAGTTGGCAGCTCTACTGCCTGATAACGTGAAGAAGTGGGCATCAAATAAATGTGTTGATCATGTATAGGAATATGAAATCTGCACCAGGTGATGGGCAAATGAAGCAACAGTTTACAAAAGTTGTTTGCCACAGTTGAGTTACATCCAGATCATATATTTATCCGCAACAGACAAATGAAAGAGAGTGAATGAATGGCTACCAAAATAACTCTGAACCACAAAAAATAATTGAACAAAAAAAGAAAAAGAGATTTATAATAAAAGAGCTCTGATCAACCATTGTAGAGATGTAAAAGTGAGAAAGTTTGATTGCAAACAGACAGGTTCAAACCAATATGCATCTGCATTGATTTGATTGGATCCAACACAGGTGGCCTTGTCAATTGATCCTGAAAATGGCATTTTAATATCATTTCGTGGGTTGATGGGTATGAAATAGATATCGAACCTGTGAAATCCCAGGTTGATGGGAGAGATGAACAAGTACTAGCTAGGATGCTGTGGGCTCTAAAGGGGATGAATTGTGAGATTCTATATCGATTGAGGAGAAGAATGAAATAGATTGTGAGAATGCTAGACTAGATGAATTGTAAGATCTTTATCGATTGAGGAGAAGAATGAAGCCGTTAACGAAGAGTAATATCTACTAACAGTGAGCGAAACATCATTCAAATTGTGGGTACTGGGATTTCACTGCCCTCATGATCAAATCCCAATGGAATTTAAAAACTGTAAATGGAGAAACACCAAAATCTGACTGCTACAAGAGAACTTTCCATATTGAAGCAAATATAATTCCAACATAAAAGGAAGAATCTTCAAAACAAATGCATATTAAATTAAGCACGCTCAAGTAAACTCAGATCTCTTTTGATTTAAAAAACTAGAGCCACAATATAGCAGAAAGTTGACCGATTTAGATCATTAGAAGGGTGATAAAGCAACTGAACTCCTTAATTAGCAGTGCTAAGCTAACCTAATACTGCCAAAAAAAACCCCCACAAAAATCCTCATTGACCATTGAATTCTTTGTAAATGATATTCAGTAATCTGAGAGAGAAAAAATGAAATGGGTTTCTATTCTTTTCTCTTTTTAAAAGAAGAGGAAAGCCAAAGTCTTGAGCTTTGTTGGATGAACAAGTTTGATGGGTGAAGGAGAAAGGACATTGAAACAGTAAGGTGGCAATGGAGGTGGTGGGGGGAGAGCAAAAAACCCTAAAATTATCTCATTTCCCCTTTTCTTTTACGTCCTGACAACAAACTTAAATGGTTGGCTCCTGGTGTTCAACGTAAAAATTCAATCTTTATGAGTATATTTATTAAAGGGGATTGTTTGAGATACTGATTAAGGAGAAGAATTTTACTGAAAGGTTAAAATTAAACCCCAAAGGCTGTGTGTCCAATTTCCAGGTAGTGTTTTTGGTTCAGCCCTTCAATTTCTCTCTCTCTCTCTCTCTCTCTCTCTCTCTCTCTCTCTTCGTATCTTCCTTTCCTCCATTCTTCTGTTTCTTCTCTGGTTCAAAATTTCCCCCAATTTGTAGTCATATAAAGTGGGGGAAAGAAGGATTAAGAAACAAGGGAAGAAAGAGAATATAGATATTCAAAAACCTAACTCTTCTTTCTTGAATGATGGTTTGGACCTTTGGTCCTCCATCTTCGTCTTTGCTCTCCTGCTTTCTCAGTTAACAAATAAAACTAACCCTTTTTGTTGGTTTGGTTACTAATTCATTCCTGTTTCTAATGCAAAATTTCCCAACTGGGCTTCTTTTACATGTAATCTTCCTGCTTTAACTTGCTTTGTTGTTCGTGATCTCGCCCACTATGACGCTGGATTCTCCTCCTCCTCCTCCTCCGATCCCTTCTGACCGATCCTCCCCTGAGCCCCTTTCCCACATCGACAACCCCAACCCCACCACGGCTAACCATGACCTTATTCTCGAGAACGAGCCCACCACCGCGACTATATCCGAACAACCCACCACGAGGAGAAACCGACCCTCTCGGGCTTGCACCCTTCGTGCTGCAGAGCGGCTCTTGGCTGCTCAGTCAGTGGTCGAGCGCAAGCCGAAGCCTAAAAAGGAGCAGCCAACCGAAGAGTCGCCACAGCAGCAGCAATGCAGCAAGATCGTGACCCCTCTGGTTGAGGAGCCTTCGCCCTCACAGTTACCACGTTGGAGTCTTCGGTCGAAGTGGGAACTGGCGTCCGTACTTAATTTCTTGCATGTAAGTTTTGTGGGGTATGTCTTCCTGATCAAAATTTGCATATTGTTGGCGTTTGAGACTTCAATTCTTTCTTTTGCGAGGTGCAGGTCTTCAGGCCACTATTGAATATTCATAATGAATTCACGGTGGAGGAGTTTGAGACGGCCTTGATTACACCCAACGACACTTTGAGTGACATACACATTCCATTACTCAAGGTTGGAACTTGAATTTAAACTGGAAAGTTTATGCTGGGTTATCCACATTTTGCTCATCATTCTAACTTAGCTCAATTTGTTGCTCCACTTATGGTCATTACTTTTTTGTTTCAAGTTTCATTTGGAGGTTTGGTGGGAGTTCTTAGTGTTAGTTTCTCAAGCCAAATATTTATTTGAAAGAGAAGTTTACTGGATTTGTTCCTTTCTCATCTGAGAGTTGCATCTTGTTTAGGTTTGAAGCTCGAGAAACTTCACAGTTCTGTGATCAATAATTAGTTATTCAATAACAGGTTCTCCTCTGGTAAAAAACTTATGCATATTGCTTAGAGATGCTTCCCTTTCCTTCTTAGAGTTGCGTAGATTTACCTTTTCAAAAGATACTTGCTTAGTGTTGCTTTAAGATTCTCTCATCTTTAATTGGACTTCTGTGTGAAGCTTCAAGTTTTCTAAGCTTTGCAATAAAGAGTTGCGTTTTATCTGTATGTAATTTAAACTGTTGATGATGAACATTAATATTTTGCAAATGTAAGTGTTTTTATTAGGCAGGGGCTAAGGTTTCGGTATTTTCTTTTGGATGATCAACGTTTCGTTTGATTTAAAACAACTTTGAACTGTAACACTGGTGATTGCTTTTATTCTTATGAATAGGGTTGGTTTGTGAAATGCTCTCTTGTGCCTGCTAAGTCTTAATATTTTGAAACTGTTGGGATGGATATGTGCTGTAGAGGACCAATCATCCTATTTTTGTTGCTAGACTTCTGATGTTTTGAAGGATTAGAGCTTCTCTAATATTTTGGACATATGAAACTTTTCTTTGAGTGTGTTTTGTCCGATTGTCTGTTAGATCTCACACATTGGTTGGAGAGGGGAACAAAACATTCTTCCTAAGGGTGTGAAAACCTTTCCCTAACAGACGTGTTTTAAATAGTATTCCTTATATGCTAGTGATGAGTTTGGGCTGTTACAAATGGTAATAGAGCTAGACACCGGGTGGTGTGCCAGTGAGGATGCTGGACCCCAAGGGGGGTGGATTGTCAGATCCTACATCGGTTGGAGAGAGGAACCAAGCATTCATTATAAGAGTGTGGAAGCCTCTCCCTAATAGACGTGTTCTAAAACCTTGAGGGGAAGCCTGAAAGGGAAAGCCCAAAGAGAACAGTATCTGCTAGTGGTGAGCTTGGGTTGTTACAAATGGTATTAGAGCCAGACACCGGGTGGTGTGCCAGTGAGGATGTTGGACCCGAAGGGGGGTGGATTGTGAGATCCTATATCGGTTGAAGAGGGGAACCAAACATTCATTATAAGAGTGTGGAAGCCTCTCCCTAACAGACGCGTTTTAAAACCTTGAGGGGAAGCCCGAAAGGAAAAGCCCAAAGAGGACAATGTCTGCTAGCGGTGGGCAGTGTGGGTTTTTCCCCCATTAAATAATGGATGAAAAGCAGTCGCCTTGGGTGGTAAGCGATGCCAATTAATAACTTGTTCACAGAAGTTTTAATTTGTGAGGTGAATTCTACCTTTTCCTCTCTGGTTGGCCACTAGGTTATATTTCAATATTTAGCTCCCTTTCCTATAAAGTTAATTAAGCTTTATTCTCTCGTTCTAGTTTTGAGTTTTAGAAATGAACTTTAGTTGTTGAAGTTGCACAAATGGCCCATTAGCGTACATCTTTAAAACTCTTCTTTCATATCTTGTGTTCAAATCCCCCACCATCAAAAGGAATGAACTTTAATTTTCATGCCTTTTCTTATGTAGTCGTTTAGGCTGGTCTATATAATTCATCCTCACCGCTTAGAACAGTTGAATCTGTCGATTTATGAAAATTATGGGCTGTACATATTTTCTTTATTAAGCATCACATTACTTCATTCTGAAAATTTTACCTTTTTGTTTTACTTTTGCAACTTATTGTCTGCCGGTAATTGCTGGAATATTTGATCCTTAGTTCAAGTTGTATAGTTCACCTCCATCTTAACTTTGTTACAAGGACTTCTGATGCGTTGCTAGTTCGTTTGAGAATGTGTTTCTTTTTCTCCCAACAACAAACTCACACACGTTATTAATGTTATATAATAACCGTAATCGGCTCCCTGTAACTTATATTTTGTGTGTTTTTCAGGCGATTCCTCCTATTACAAGAATGGCCCTTACTCGGGATACATGGGTGACTGTATTGTGCAGAAAGCTGCGAGACTGGTGGCACTGGGTATCGTCCATATATTTCATATTTATCCATATCTTCCTGTATCGTGGCTGTGATGGAATCCCACAGTTCTAGCTTCCAATCTGACTCGTGGTCCTTGGTTTGTATATGCAGGTTGCTGAAGGGGATCTGCCTATTGTTGCTTCACATGGGTGAGTGCCTAGAGATTTCATGTCCCATATCTAAAAATGTTCTTCATTCTTATGTTCCTAATCATTATGAGTTTTCAGAGTTGAAATTGAAGTTTATAAAAATCTTGATCCTGGGATGCGTGTGGTTATCTTGAAAGCACTATGCGACATTCGTGTTGAGGTACTGTCTTCTCAATAAGTACCAAATTTTCTGGTTACAATACAATTGCCTTTGTGAAGTTGACGTAGTGTTTGACAGTACCGAGCGACATTTCTTTATTCGTTTACAACTGTTTTATTGGTTTAGACTTTGTTCTCTATACTGCCAGTAGGCAACATCCTACAGGCAACAAGGTAGGTCCAGAGTGTGAGCTCTCTTGA